CTTCCTTCAAAGGTTGCGGGAAAGACCCTTCCCGAAGAGAGGTATTTACAATCCTCTGGATCCAGCCACGTGTCACCTCCCTGCTGGTTGAAACCAACCAGGAGGGGCACGGGTCCAGTAGGCAGGTGGCGGCACTCATCGCTCCTATGGCCTTGTCCACTTCCTCAGGAGTGGCAAGCTGGAACTCACTCCATAAAATTTGATAAAGGCTCTCCCTCGGCATCTCTGCTGGCACTGTCCAAGTAGAGTCCAGGTCCGTCCGAATCTGAGTGACTTTGTCCGACAGAAACTGAACAAATTCCTCAGCTCTTCCCTGTAAGGGTTCACTTGCATCCCTCCCTTTCAGGAGGGAGCAGCTTATCCTAAACAGGGCGGCCGGGCGAGATTCTGCAGACACAATAATGCAATTATGTTTGGAAGAGTTAAGGTAAAAAGAAACCAGGCCTTCAAAGAAATGATGGCTGTGAACCATTGAAGCTGACACCAGCCAGGGTATAGAAAAACACAAAGAAATGGTGCAAGATTAGAAGATATGGAGAAACCTGGCCAAGTGTCAGATTCGACTGAATAGATATCATTAACAAATAACAGAGTTAGAAGGGATCTTGTAGGTCATCTAGTCCAACACCCTGCCCAAGCAGGAGACCCTACATCTGCCTCTACCTAGGATTGAACTCACAACTTCCCAATTGTGAGGCAAGATTTCCATCTTTAGGCCACAGCTGTTCTTCATCATCATCACCACCATCATCATCATCCTTCACTTGCTATTGCCATAGAAGTCCTCATTGTTGTTGAAGACTTTATGTCTTTTTTATATGATGAAATTTGCACTGGAAATTATTTACATTATTTTACACTAATTTAAATAATTCTCAGAGCAATGTGAGGTTTCAAACTGAGTTCCCTAAGGATGTCAATATAGGACCCTCTGAAGTTCTTTAAACCAGTTGTGCCCTTTCACAGAACTGAGAAGCAATGGACAGGTGCCATGTTCACCCTCCTGTATACCTCAAAGCTCCCTTCTGTAATCGAGTCCAAAGCATTGCACAGCCCTACTTTCTGATTTGTACAATCTCTCCTACTTCACAAATCCATGGAGATATTTTAAGTTTTCAGCTGAATTTTTATTCTTGCACAAAATAAGCTGCTTCGTGACCACAAATAGGAAGATGACACCTATTCCATCCCAGAGCAATAAACCCACTGGAGATTGCTGTCTTAGTCTCCTTGAGAGACGCAATTATTTGGATCATTTATAGGCAATCTTGTCCAGATAGGAATTACAAGGGGCATGTCAGGTGTGAAAGACCAGATCCACATGGGAAGATCCAATTACACTGAATTATTGCTAAAAAGCCTATGCACAGGAATCTTCTTGACTAATGGTTAGCACCTGCCTGGAATCAGTTAAGAGTCAACAGAATTTGAAATGGGAAGGTTGGACTTAGTCCACTTGTGGTTACATAGGGATCCTAAGATCTCTCTTTCAACTCTGCTCTCAGGTTCTGCCACTGCTTCTCCTATATTGGTTCTTATTTCTGCCACATTAGCTCCATTTCAGTTTGCCATCCCCCACCCCCCGAAAGTCCTGTTGAGTCTCATATTTAAACATACAACTTTGTTCCTCTTTTGGGAGCAGAAAAGAACTGAGGCAGCAATGCAAGTAAATGTGTTGTACCCCAAGATCATGCTAGAAAAGGTGTTTAGTAAACAACTTACCATCTGTTCAGTGGTGCCTGGATTCTAAACACCTTCCTATCAACTATTAGCCCTAAACTTGCTCAATTCTTCATTCAATTTGTGGGTTTAAATGGGATCAGTTAAGGCTTCTATTTTGCAATAGCTTCATAGACACACCCTGAAAAGTAAGCTGTTTGGATATATTCTTTAAATATTATCAAATGTTTATTATTATACACCCAGTGAAAGGTGCAAAATGATATCAAATGAAGAAATGTCACTAAACCATATTGTATGCTAATAGATGTAATCTTTGATTTAGAAAATGATTTTTTCTCTCTCTATGGGTAGGCACTAAGTCTTTTTTATTGTTCCATAGAAACATTTCGTCATGTAGAAGGAAAGCATATTCAATGTTTATTAATCACTGAGAATAAACCTACTGATTTAGAATTAATGCACATACAAAGAGAAAATTGGGGTAAAGATTGATGGAAGAAACATCAACAATCTTTAGTATGCTGACAGTAGAACTCTCCTCTCAGAAACTAAAGAAGGCCTGGAATATCCAATCAAGAAAATCAAAGAAGAAAGTGAGAATTTTGGACTCTTTCTAAATATCAAAAAGACCAAGGTCATGATTGCTGTAAGGAAGGGGAACATCAAAATAGAAATTGATGGTAAAGAACTAGATTGTCTGGAAAAAATTTTTTTCCCCTAGGATTGCAAATAGCTCAAAGTGATGAATGGAGCATAGAAATAAAAAGTCAGATTGCCTTGGGCTGCACTGCAATGATGAACATGAACCAAATATGGAAAAGCAAGGACATCAGCCTGGCAACCAAATGTAGGTTACTTCACTCTATTGTGTTCTTTGTAGATGTTCAGTGTGAGAATTGAATCTTAAAAAAGTAAGACAGGAAGTAAATCAATTCGTTTGACCTATGGTGCTGGGGAAACCTGCTGTGTATTCCTTGGATAGCGAAGTGTGCCTAACATGAAAGTACTGGATTGCATAACACCAGTCATATCACTAGAAGGCAAAATCACTAAACTGTGTCTTACTTACTTTTGCCATGTCATACAGCTGAATTTATTAGCAAAAGTAATTTTGCTTGGAAGAATTAACAGTAAAAGGAATCCAGGGTGTCAAAGAATGCAGTAGTTGGATACCATCAAAGTTGACACCAGCTAGAGCATAGGAAAACTTAAATAGTGTATGATTGGAAGATGGGGAGAGACCTGACCCAGAGAATCGCCAATTGTTGAACGTGACTGAATAGATAACATCATCATCAGTTGCACTGTATTATCTATCAGGGAAGTGTTGAACTCTTCACATGAAATATACTTGTCCCAAAGGTGCTTTTTTCAAGAGGCAACTGGACTTTCTGAAGAAGCTTCTTGGATGAGAAGTGAAACATTGTCAAAGAAAAACCAGAAAGTCCAGTTACTGCTTTAAAAAAAGCACCTTTGGGACAACCATGACCTTGAATGACTGAGAATCTCTATAGACATGAAATATACTTATGAATTTGTTTCCTAGATTTAATTATTGCCTTTCCTTTAGAAGCTTAATGCAGTGTTTCTCAACCTTGGCAACTTGAAGATGTCTGGACTTCANCTGGGGGTTACAAATCAAAGATTAAAACTATCCAATAAGAGTAGAAGGAAGGCCTCTACCAAACCTTCACATTTAATACAAATTTTACATGTGCCATGTAACATACCTAAACTTATTCAAGCATACATTCTCATCACCAATGTTGAAATGATATTTGAGAGGGAGGGATGGGGGAAGCAGTTTGTTACTTATCTCAAGCATTAAAACCCCTAAATTAGAGTATTCCTTTGTCTTATTTATAGTATTAATTTCTTAATTACAGTATTCCTTTATACTATACTTCTCTCACAAGAGTACATGTGATCCACACAGGCTTCTTTCTCAACAAATATATTGAAATTGAGAATAGAGCAGAGGTGAGTTCCTACCGGTTCAGACTGGTTCGGCCGAGTAGGTAGTAACTCGGCTGGCCATGCCCCCAAACCGGTTCTATCTGCAGCACCATAGGATCACCATCTTGTTTTTTACCTACTGCTCATCTGCGCATAGTGCGCATCAAGCATGTGCGTGCACTCCCAAAGAGCATCCCTGAGTGAACCGGCAGTAGCCGGAACCCAGCCCTGGAATAGAATAAGGAGTGACAAAGGTTACCTTGGCTTTATATTTGTGGTTTCTTCCTTGTGTCATACTATGTACTCTACCTCCCTCTCTATCTGCCGAAACAGCTCTTCTGCAAACACTTGCAAACATGATTAGCCTTATTTAAAGAACAGAAAACCAAGAAAATTTCCATAACCGACTAACTTATTGTTAAAGGCAGGATAATAAAATTTGTAGTCCAAAACATCTGAAAATTACATATGGTAAAAGTAACGTTGCCTTCACATCCTACTTATAGGCTTCCCAGAAGTATTTGTTTGTTTATCTGGAGGAATCAAGTTCTTAGACTCTTTGGATTTACTTGCTACCTCTCCTGTATGAATTCTTCATGTTTAATGTTTTAACAGAAAATTTTCAAGAATAATTTATATTTTAAACATAGCTTCTGGGCTCACCAAATACTTACTAACAGTCTGTTGTCTTTAATCATGCAAAGCTGCTTGGCCCACTGGCCCAACCATTTTTTTCTCCAGAGAAAAGCACAGATCCGGGAATCTTTCATAAGTTCAATAGATGCTTCAGGTGATGGCCACTGATGAGAGGCTGGCTTGTCTTTAATCCTCTCTTCCTCATCGTAGGATTCATAAGAGCTGCTGACAGCTTCATCATCTGCATCCAAGGGAAAGAGACCATTATATTTACATCAAGGTTACAAAGGGATTAGATTTTTCTTTCCTCCACTATGTTAGCTCCAAAGCATTCCAAGGTGTACCACAAAGATAAACAGAAGTAAAGATAAAGATGGCTTGAGAACTTGCCAAGTTTAAACCATCACAATATGTTCAAGAAAATATGGCAATTTTACTTGCATTCCACTTTGATCAGCATGCAGAAGATCATTATCCAATCCAATTTTTAAATTTTGTAATATAAGGGTTGAAATCATAAATTGAACTCTAATTTGAAAAGTGAATGGCATGAATCATATCCATATGAAATAATTGTTTATGTGCCATCAGGTTGTTTTTGACCCCAAGAAGATAGGTAGAGTTTCTCCATTATGATCTATCCCTAACCTTTTCTTTAAATCATACACCCATCAACTCTTGCATTAATTTTGATAGAACTAGTACACTAATAATTTGAGTATCTTTATAGTCAACAGTCCTATTTTATTCCAACAAGCTGTAGAGGTATGAAATAAGTATCACAGTGGTATGTTTTAATAATATGCATATTATACAAGGATTTTATTCAGTTTGAAATTATGTAATATGTCACTTTTATAAATTCTATGTTCTGCTATGTCATGCAAACTGATGATCTTCAAATGTCTTAAGATTTCAATA